ACTTTTTTCCCTAATTCGAACCAGCCTTTCTCTCTTCTCTCTCTTCTCTCTTTTCTTCTTTCCTCTCCTACTTCTTGCTGTCTACTTTACTCTACAGTCAACGAACAAGACAGAATTCTATGGCAGGTCAAACTTCAACAATCAGTTTGGCTAAGGTGGCAAGCTATTGCCTAGGCATTTTGTCTGAATTTCTCTCATGATTGAGATCATAATTCCCTTCTTCACCCACTATGTTCATCCTTCTAGGACATTCTCTTTCCCATCCTACAATAGGCATAATTACTTATTTTTTATGGAAAAATCTATGACGCCAGAAAGGCTATGACCAATCAAAACCCCCGTGAATTTCTATGAAAATCCACCTAATTGGTTACCTCTTTCATGATGCTGGTTGATTGGCTATATGCTTTTCCAGTATCATGTCTTTCCGGCATCATAGTTGAACTCATGTTTCATAATAATGAGTGCCTGAGTTCATAAAGGCACTCACAAGCATTTACAGGCCCAACATGACAACTTTCCAACAACATAATTTCCTTCCTATCCACTGCAGCTGTTTGTTTTCCAACTTCTCAAATATAAGGGAACAAAACTTGAAAAGAATTTTTTTGTCAAAGTAAAATAGATTTTATTTCCTGATAAGCAAAAGAGAAAATTTGGTCCACCATTAATCATGTGCAACATAAGCAATAATCCCCAATGTTCTAACTGGAAAAAAAAAACACTAATCTATTTAAAGCTTTCAACCTGTTCTTTAGGAAACTAAAATAGAGGGAAAGGATTTTCAATCCAACATTAAATCCACAATTTGTTCATATTCTCTTTCCATCTATTAATGGTGGCTCTAAGAAACAACTAATGATCAAACCAATCTTTTGAACATGCTTGTAGATCCATGGACGAGATTCACAAAACTAAATCCAGTTTCTCCTAATTTGATTTTTTACTTAAAATGGAAAGGCAACCTTTTTTTCCCTGAATCTACTTATATATAATGTATTTTTCTTTTTTTATTTTGAAGAATGTAGATCACTTAAAGAATAACTCAAGCAGATTAATAATCTCTTCTGTGTCAACACACTGGCTATAAAATTTCATGGGTAAAAATTGAAAGGAAACTTGCTAAACCATGGATTCTCAATAAATATGGATTGAATGACTTCAGAGAAAGTGAACCAAATAAAGCATCTGTTGAAAGTTTTTGGTCTTTTATGTATTTTTATGTATATGGTATAGCCAGGAGTATTTTTGTGATCTTTTATTTCAGAATATAAATATTAGCAGATAGGGGTTAATTGCCCATCTTTTCTCCCTCAAACATGGTGTTCTCTCTTCCTTTCTCCATTATTTTTTTCAACTCTTCTATGTTTTAAATCTTCTAAATCAAAGCAAGTCGACTAAACTGCATCCATTTACCACTAAAGCAGAATCAATACATAAGCAAGGAGTACCTAACAGACTTTGGCATTAACAAGATGATTTGTTTCAAGTCAGTAGTAAAAACAAAACTGGGTAAGAAAGATCCTACCATTCTCCGCATTACATGTTCAAAGCACCAAAAGGCATCTGCTTCATTTTCTAGAAGAATTACCATGGGAGAGCAAAAATCATTCATTCCTGCTCAAGAAAGAAAGTTTTACAAAATTCATAGGGAATGTCAATCCACCGCTATTTCAGTTTGGCAATCACATACTAAAATATCCACATTCTACTTACCCTGAACGTAGCCGACATCATTGTCTATCCATGCATAAACTGCAAGAATATCCCATAGCTTCGCTAGATTAGCTTCACTTTCATAGAAGACAAGTGATCGGTCAGTGCGAAGAACGTCCAAACCTACACTATCCAACATTATTTCAAAATCATGTTAATCAATATAGAACTTTCTAAACAACAATTACAAGTCAATAAAGCATCCAGAAACAGCATCAGTAAATAAGTTTTTTAGACATATATTTCCATTTGACAATGTAAGAGTTACAAAAATCAAAAACAGAACTTTAGTCTTGAAATTAAGGGTGCAACAATAAATACCAATTTGATGCAAATTAAGCTTCCATTGAATCACTCTCTTTTCCAAAGCAGCATCAACTGCAGGTTCCCCATTTTCCATAGGAGCATCAGGAGTAATACTTGTCACAGCTCCATTATCTTGTAATTCACCATTACTTGAAGGGTCCTGGATTGGCTGTCCATCTTCAGTTATGATAGGTGCTGTAATAATCTTCCCACTACCAATGGTCGGTACCATCTTTTGGCACTCAGCCTTCCATGTTCCATATTGTTCCCTGCCACAATCAGTGAAATTTTTACCACATTTATGAGGTGGCAATAAGAGAATGAAAGAAGAGACATGTTGAACCAAAATTAAGGTAGCATTACTACCTACGACATTGCCTGAGTTCACTCCGTTCATCAAAGGTGCTATCAGGATTAAAGCAACCCAATAAGAACTCCCAGACCACACCTTTTATTGATGGATGAATTCCCTACAAAATGTAAAATAAATTATTTACAATCTCAACTTTAGTCTTTAGTACCACAGGAAAAAGGGTGTCAATACATGCATTGCAACAACAATGGACCCTCCCCATATGGGCCCACAAAAGAAATCCATCACATGCAATGGTCCTACAATACTCAACAACGCCTGTTCCATCAAGAATTAGAAGAGATTTCTGATTGTTTCCAGGTTGCTCATGCACGTTATGCACTCATTGGGAGAGATGTATTTGAATCTAGCCCCCCCTATTTGCAGTACTTAACATGTATTCACCTTAAGAAAACTCCACTAAGAAAAATCCTGCATGTTAAGACAGGGCAATTGAAAATAAATACATTTTCACGTTTAAAGGTGCTAGCACTTCCAAAAAGACTTCTGCACTAGGGGGAGTCTGGGGAAGGGAACTGTATCTGTTACTTGGTAGGGGGTTCAGGCATGAGGAAATGAGGACAATATGTACACTGATTCGGTAGGAAGAAGGAAGACATCTTAAAGAAGCTTGAACAATGGACAGGATCTAGAAAAGTTAAAGAGACGAGGGAAAGCAACATCTTCAATCATCTTACTCCACCAGTTATACAACCAAAATTCAACTCTCTCCCAAGCAGCCACATCAACTGTAACAAAGAAAATAAAAGAGGGGCCTTCTATGGACCATAAATAAACTTTTTGCTCCCACACCTCTCTCTATAATGTATGTAAAATAACCATATTGGTCAACTTATAATAGATTTAAGACATCAAGGTTGACCGTGTATTGTTCAGCATCCATGGGAACCCACATGGTGCAACTTAAACAAATACAAGTGTGCAGTATGTGGATTATTAAGATCATGCCCTATATTACATTACCTGATTCACTAAATGCTAATAACAAAGCTAAGTCTTTTTGGAAGTTTAGTACTAATTTACAATAATTCTACAAATACAAACTACATGGATTGTTCAGTGACTTTTTTAAACTTAGTACTAATTTACTTTCAGTTAGTATGATTACTAAAAATAAGAATTGTCTAGTGACTTTTTTTCCCTGATCATTGTGTTTTTTCAAGATATGGTGACAAGGAAGGTGATTGGAACTAGCTATGAAGAAAATGGGATCTACTTGCTTAAACTTCCACCTAGGAATGATAAAGGAGTTGGAGGTCTTTTGTTTCACAATCTGTGAGTTAGATTATTCTTTGGCATAATCAGTTGGATCATTTATCTTTTAAGTCATTGAAGGGTATTTTCCTGCTTTGAGTCAGTCCAAGTGTCCAATTTCAGATGTGAGAATTGTGAACTTGCAAAACATTGCAGATCAGCTTATTCATTAAGTAATAAAAGAAGCATTATTCCTTTTGAAATTGTGCATACTGATGTTTAGGGTCCATATCATACTACAACTATGGGGGATACAGATTTTTCCTATTGTTTGTTGATGATTATTCTCATTTCTCCATGAGTTTATCTTATGCGTTCTCAGGATGAGGTCCCTACTTTGACTTGTTCCTTCCATTAAAAGATTCTCATCCAGTTTGAAACTAAAATAAAAATATTTGGATCTAATAATGCCAAAGAGTATTTTGCAAAACTCTTGGCCTCATATTTCCTCAAGTATGGGGTTATTAATCCGAGTACTTGTCCCTATATGCCTCAACAGAATGGAGTAGCTGAGAAAAAGAACAAAGGCATCCTAGAAGTTGCAAGAAACATCATACTGAATTCTAATGTTCCCATATGTTTCTAGGGGGGTGCTATCCCACACAGTCGTGTATCTTATTAACAGAGTTCCTTCACAGATTCTAGATACGAAAGCTCCTTTTAGATAAGGACTTGTTCAACATACCTCTTTAGGCCTTGTTCACGTCTCAGTAAATGACTTACCCGGGTAAATGCACTTATCCGGGCAAGTGTTTATTGAGAAACACTTATCCAAATAAGAGCACTTACCAATGTTCTTCTATTCCCTAGGTAAAGGTATACAATGACTGATTTTTCCAAAAAAAAAAAAGAAAAAGAAAGTGACATTATTGAAGGGACAATATTGTCCCATCATGTATTAGCGATTTTCAGTGTGCATGGGTAAGTAATTTACCCAAATCTAAGGAGAGTATTACTTCCACAAGTAAATGAGCTGCTCGGGAAATTTTCTTTTCCATGGAACACACTAATACTAGAAAGCGAACATGGATTTATTTCTTTTTCGCAGGACCTACTGACTTACCCACCCTTACTTCTTGGAAAATGAACAAGGCCTTAGGGTTTCTGGGTGCACTTGCTTTGTTCAAATCCTTAGGTGGCATCGTTCTAAGTTTGATCCTAAGGCTGCCAAGTGGGTTTTTCTCGGTTATGCACAAAATCAAAATGGATATTGTTGCTACAATCCTCGCTCTAGGTTGTGGTTTGTGCCTATGAATGTCACTTTCTTTGAAGATGTTCCATACCATCCCAAGGTTTCATCTCAATGGGAGAGGGGTGAGAGGGGTGACCCTCTTCTTGAAGTTCCCTTACCTATTCCATTCTTTGAAGTAGGGGTGTTCACATTAAATGTCAAATCAACCAAACAAACCAAACTGGCCCGATCTAACCCGAGTTGATCGGTTTTCCAAAACCACCAGTCGGTTTCGGTTTGTGTGAGAAAATAAACCGACAACTTGGTTCGGTTTTCAGTTTTTATACATGAAAACCGAAACCGAACCGATGTTTTAAGTAATTACCAGGTAGTCCCTACTCAGCCCTACTCCCTATCATAGTTAACTTTAAATTTAAGTAAAGTTGTTTATTACCTTTTTGGGTTTAGCAAGCATTGATGTGAAGGAGTCTTGGAAATTGGAATGGACATACATGTTGGATTGTTGGAGTCTTCACTCTTCTATTTTTGAAAGAGAAAAAAAGAGAGGTTAAATAAAATTATTTATTACCTTTATTAGTTTATTTATTACCTTTTTGGATTTAGCAAGCATTGCTATCAAGGACTCTTGGAAATTGGAATGGAGAGACAACTGTTGGAGTCTTCACTCTTTAATTTTGAAAAGAGAGGTTAAATAAACCAACTAAACCGATAAACCAACCCAAACTGACCCTTCATGTTTGGGTCGGTTTTGCTTCAAGGTCAGTCGGTTTCGGTTTAGCCAATAAATAAACTGACTAGGTTGGGTCGGTTGAAGAAAATGACACAAACCCACCCATCCCGACCCATGAACATCCCTACTTTGAAGAGGAGTATGGTAAGAGGGATTGCCAAAAGTGTAAGCAACTAAGGGTGTTTCATAGGTGGAGGCAAGTTGATTTTGGTCATGAGCAACACAGGTCAGTTCCAACCTCTGATGTGATGCTAGATCCAAGTACTACAATCCCTTTGCCTACTACTACTACTACAGATGGCATTCCTTCAACTACTAAGTCTCTGCCTACCTCAGATGACCTTAACCTCCCTATTGTAGTTCGCAAAGGAAAACACCATTGTACCTCATCTATTGCCCATTGAATCTCCTAGTTTCTTTCTTATGACCACGTTTTATTGTCCTATAAAACCTTTTTAGCATTCGTTGATGCCATACCCATTCCCAAAACAATGCAGGATGTCCTAATGGTGCCTAAGTGGAAGGATGCAATGGAGGTGGAGATGGATGCCTTCATTAAAAATAATACTTGGGAGTTGGTGGATCAACCAAAAGGGAAGAAACCTATTGGATGCAGATGGATATTTACAATGAAGTACAATGCAGATGGTTTAGTTTGAAAGATACAAGGCCCGACTAGTAGCAAAGGGGTACACACAGTGTTGTGGTATTGATTACTCAGAAACCTTTGCACCAATTGCCATGATGAACACCATTAGACTTTTTTTGTCACTTGCTACAAATTTCTCATGGCCATTGTTTCAAATGGATGTAAAGAATGCCTTCCTTAATGGTTACCTGCAAGAGGAGGTATATATGGAGTTGCCCCTAGGGTTTATGAAACAAAAGCAAGAAAGAAAGTTTGTTCATTGAAGAAAACTTTGTATGGACTTAAGCAATCTCCAAGGGCATGGTTTGACAAATTTAGACTTGCCTTAGAGAATTTTGGCTATATGTAGGCCCAGTCTGATCACAATTTATTTATCGAGAATGCAAGCTCTTCCTTGATTCACTCTCTTTGCCATATATGTTGATGATATTATGGTGATAGAATACAATACAGATGAGATTGATCCTCTTAAGAAGTTACTGAACAAGGAGTTTGAGGTGAAAGAACTAGACAATTTAAGGTATTTCTTGGGAATTGAAGTGGCTTGGTCTAAACATGGAATCTTCATCTCCCAAAGGAAATATGTATTTGATCTTTTGGAGGAAACTGGAAAATTAGGAGTTAAGCTTGCAGACACACTCATTGAACAGAATCATAAAATAAGTGCAGAAGGGGGTAAGCCACTTGAAGATATAGCTATGTATCGAAGTTTGGTTGGGAAACTTCTTTGTCTGTGTTTAACACGTCCTGACATTTCTTGCGCTGACATTGTTGTCAATTAATATATGCATTCTCCTAGAATGACCCATCTACTTGTTGTTGAGAGGATCCTTGCTTACTTGAAGAGGTGTCCAAATCAAGGTATACTCTTCAAGAATAATGGTCATATGAAGCTTGAAGTATACATAGATGTTGAATGGACCGGGTCTATTGATGATAGGAGGTCTACTTTAAGGTATTATGCTTTTTTGGAGGAAATCTTGTTTCATGGAGTAAGAAACAAGATGTGATTGCCCATTCCAGTGCCAAGGCGGAGTATAGGTTCATGGCTTATGGTGTGGCTGAAGTGGCTGAAATCTCTACTTGAGGAATTAGGCATTGAATATGAAAGGCCCTTGATGTTGTAATGTGATAATCAGGTTGCCACTAATATTGCACATAACCCAATACAGCATGATAGAACAAAACATATAGAAGTGGACCAACATTTTATTAGAGAGAKATGCCTCTCAATAAGTGTGCCTTCCCTATGTTGCCACAGCTTGTTGATGT